AGTTTTGGAAGTGTCTAAAATGACTTTACCCATATGTAAAAGTCATTGGTGTTTGGTGATGAGTTTGTGGCTCAAGGTCTGCATTTAAAGTCACACCAGAGGTGTTCAGCTGGGATTAGGACTTGGCTTTCTGCAGACCAGTCAAGTTCTTCCACACTGACTGAATCAATCATTTCTTTTTGAACCTTGTCTTATACACAGAGACACTGTCATGCTAGAATAGAAAAGGGTTCTGTCCAAACGGTTGCTATAAAATTAGAAGCATACAATTCCCTAGAATAACATTATATGCTTAAACATTAAGATTTGTACTCATGGAAATTACTAAAGTAGTCAAACCTGTTAATTAGAAGAGGCCAATACTTTTGGCACTATAATGTATATAGTTTGTAGCGTCTGGACCAATCAGACACACCATTTTTCATTTGATTTAACAAATCAATTATTCATTAGATTAACAAACGTTCACAGACCCCTCACCCAATAAACATACTGGGTGCCAAGTTGTCTGTGAACAGGGCCCAGGACCCTGGTTACCATGGCAACCCTGACACCAGATACATTTACGACCTAATGGAATGCGAAGCAGGGAAAATCACTGCATGTTCCATCGCAAGAGGCACAAGGCACAGTAGAAATGGACTTTTCTACTAATTAATTCATAGGAAAACCTTTCTTTGAATGAACAGTGTATCCTTCAGGTCATGGTGTATGTTGTCTTTGATATTTTTAGACTATTTTATGCATGCTTATGATGGAACCCATTCCTGTCATCCTGCCTATATGTAATCCTACCATGTTTAGTATCTATGAATTCGCCTTCTGATGATCTAAACGAGCGTGTATATTATATGTTGGTACATAGGCAATATATTAGTGTCCTGAGAATCTTTAGTAATTTCGATTCAAGTTCCATATGCAAATTACCACGCTTCCACACAAAGAGTCATAAAACTCCCCAGTATCTCAAAACTCCCACTTGGGATGTCAGCCTTTCTCATTGGACAAGCCCATTTTGAGAGGCGGGAATCTTCCGAGACATTAAAAGCCCCACACCAGACAGACGAGACGTGCAAGTATTCAAACTTAGTCTTATTAATTGATACATTAGGTATCATTTGCACCTTTTTACAAAGGTGTGTTTGAACTAAGAATCTGATGTTTCCTTCAGGCTGTAAATCTGCTGAACATCAAATGGTACCATAGTTTCCTATTCTTATTTCTCTTCTCTTTACTGCGTTAAGCTTTAACCCTTTCCTATACAAACTGTATGTGTGTGTGTATGTGTATGTTAGACCAGTTTAAGTGTTTATGTAGTATGTTAGACTAGTTTAAGTGTTTATGTAGTTAATAAAGTCTTACTTGTATCACACTTGACGTTGTTCATTGTTTGCTCATAACTGGAGTCCCTAATCATGCAGATTTATGCTACAAGCTCTGTGTAGAGTTGTACAGTAAGAAAGTTATTTCCTTTAACCAGGAAATTAACGTTCTTAGAATTGACAGACAGTTGACCCTGAGAGGTCAGTAAATATCTTCAGCGGATCTAAATATTTGTAATTAATTATAACTAGTTATGATTAATTATTCATATTTCCCCATGAGCTGATTCGCTACATAGATATTGCATATAGTGGACTTTAAAGGCATACAGTGTGTCAAAAAGCCATGTATATGGCTGAAAGTATGTTGTCTAACTAACAAAACACAATAACAGTAACAATCAACAACAAATTTTGAGCCCCAACAGATCATTTTGAGTAGAGAATGAACTCCAGACTACATCAAAACAGTGTAAATAAACCAGGCAAACAATGAAACCATGCAAACGTATAAATTATTCATGCCCTGGTCCTGGGATTCCCGGAGAATACAGTATTCCATGTGATGCCAGACATCATAACTAGTTTACCACAACAGTGTCCACTGCTCTTTGAACTGTAAATAGCTTCATGGATTATAAAAAGGGAGAATTTGCTTCATGTTTGGTTGATGTGTAACTTGTGAACAGTTTAGTACATCAAAAAGCTTTCAAAATCTTTTGACAAGTCTAGCCTTAAGATGGTCTGTACAAAATTTGGTGAAGACCAGATGAAAGATGTGGTTAAAGGGGTCATCAGATGCCCATTTTCCACAAGTTGATATGAATCTTTAGGGTCTTAATGAAAAGTCTGTAACATAGTTTGGTTAAAATTTTTCGATGGTAGTGTAAAACAACACCGTTTTTACCCTGTAAAAAACAGCTCTGTCTACAGCAAGCCGTTTTATTGCATGTTCCTTTAAATGCAAATGAGCTCTGCTGACCCTCTTCCATGCCGCTCTCTGAGAGACTGTTTACTTTAGCCGCATTAAACGTGAAACTTGCTAGTTAGCACATTATTAGGAAAGGCGATTTGCAAAGATTCATTAAAAAACCTTATACTCACTTCTTCTGTAGATGAGGCTGGATCATGAACTACAGCAAGCCGTTTTATTGCATGTTCCTTTAAATGCAAATGAGCTCTGCTGACCCTCTTCCATGCCGCTCTCTGAGAGACTGTTTACTTTAGCCGCATTAAACGTGAAACTTGCTAGTTAGCACATTATTAGGAAAGGCGATTTGCAAAGATTCATTAAAAAACCTGTCTGGAAGCTGGATCACAAATGATTCGCGTGAGCATAGACACATTTAGGTAGATCGGGGGCACATTCCCTTCAAAAACAAACGCAATCCACTGTGTCTTTAGCGGCTCAGATGTCGGGAGTAAATGACGACTACTATGTTCATTATTACATCCAACAACAGAACACCTCAGTCGCTTAGGAGTCATTCTTGTCTACATCTGCTCTGGCGGTGAAACAATGGTGGACTGATGACAGCTCACTCAGGGCGGGTCTAAGGTAAGACACCAGTCCAGTCTGTGCTGAAACGCCACTGTCAATCAAACTATCGTGGGAGGGGCCTGTC